TCTAGGTGGTAGATGAGCCCATATGGTGGGCGGGGTCAGTGGCTGCCAGCCCATGTGTTTCTTTGCATCTGGAGTTAAGGCTAGAATCACTTCACATCTGTAGGGCCAGGGGCAAGACTAAACTGCTTGAGTCTGACCAAGCTTGTACCTGTACAACCCCTGGCAGTGTAGCCTGTGTGGTTCACTAGCCTGCACACATTTACAAAGCTTAGATGAGCCCATATGGTGGGCGGGGTCAGTGGCTGCCAGCCCATGTGTTTCTTTGCATCTGGAGTTAAGGCTAGAATCACTTCACATCTGTAGGGCCAGGGGCAAGACTAAACTGCTTGAGTCTGACCAAGCTTGTACCTGTACAACCCCTGGCAGTGTAGCCTGTGTGGTTCACTAGCCTGCACACATTTACAAAGCTGAAGGAAGGAGCTAGACCTGAACCTGGCTATAGCCTAGCAGGAGCTGTCCTAGCTGGCCTACAGAACCCAGACTCTGGGGCTAGAAAGTGGGCAGGGTCAGGTCGAGTCTGTTCCCCACCTGCAAAAGGGAAGATCCTTGGCACCCTCTTGTCAGCCTCCCTTCTCCACTGCTCTATTCCCACTTACTATCTAGAAGTCTGGAGAAGCTGCTCGGTAGAAGGCTACAGAGGAGGCAGGACACTGCTGCGGGTGTCCTGGGAGAGCAGGAAGGGGAGGTGGGCATGTAGTCCTGTTAGTCGCAGGGAGGGTGGATATCCTGTTCAGCTCCCAAGGTGGCAATGAGTGCCTGAGGTTTGGGTCAGAGTGGTTGGTAGGTCCAAGGTAAGCTCAAGGTCTGTGTCCTTCTCACTGTTCTGTGTCACTCTCAGCGTTCTTCTACAGCTGGGAAGCATTGGGGTTTGAGGTGGAAGCAGGGAGCTAGGAGCTGAAAGCTAGAAGCTTCAGAACAAAGTCCTGCTCACTTTCTCCCTGTGAAGGAGGCTTTGGTCATTTCCAGTTCCTCTCTAAGTTCGGAAAATAGACCTTTTCTTCTTTCTTTCTTCCACTTGAGACTTAGTGATCCAAAACTACCCACACTTCTTCTCTTGTGTTCTGTTGGTCTCCCCTCATGCCTGTGCTCCAAATGCAGCAATCTACCCAAATTTTTTGGACTTTCCTACCAGATATACCACAACAGGTATCCTTAGTTGGCCATTTTGCCCCTTCTCTTAAATTTAATTTTAATCAAGGCTGCATTAGATTATTACTTGGAGGTAATAAAATTAATGTCCACACTTCAAAGACAGACATCAGGCCTGCAAAGGACTTGCTGGAGGAGACATATCAGAGGCCCTATCCAAAGCCCACTTCTGAAGAATGTTCAGTTTTTATTTGGGTACTTGGCCTTTTCTACATGGCCTATATGACTCAACGAAAGCTGATAATACATCCCTAGCTTCCACAGAAAGCCCTAACTGAGCAGTAGCTAACATTAGCCCTCACCAAGGTGACTGATGACACACCATCTAAGAATGCAGCTACAGCTCGGCTGAGGCCAGCACAGTCCAGAAAGGGATGACAGCCCCAAGATCAAACAGCAGATCTCAGAACTAGTGGAGACTACCGAAGGAAACAGCCAAGAACTAACTTTTTCATGCTTCAAACCTACAGAAGCTCCCACAAAACATAAGTGATACCTCACAGAGAAATGCACTGAGCCGAGTTTAAATTTTCAATGCTTGTGCATATAGGGGGAAAGTAACAGGTAATTCTCTGGAATTAACTGTTATATTACACTACTCACTGCCACACAGGATGGGACTAACCTGGGAACCCAGATCAGAGACCTTACCTTTCAACAGAAAAAAAATTGTTCTGTCTAAGTTGATTATTGTAAAGAAACCCTGAAATTTATGAATTTATACAGCAGGTCTCCTTGGGAAAATGTCACTGTTATCAGTGTTGTAGTATAAATATTAGTATATTTAAGTTATTTAGCACAGCATGTAAATGACTAAGACATTTTCATACCTTCTGCATGACCTTCCTTGCCCACCTTAACTGCAAGATGTACCATTGTGCTACAGGAAAAGAGCATCGAGCTGCCCGGAAAAGCAAGAGAACACGCTGAAGGATTCCAGACACCTTCTGGCGATTATCTTTTTCAGCTTTTAAAAGAAGATCATCACCATCTTCCTGAGGAAAATAAAACAATCAATTTAAGTGGCTAGTAATAAGAAAATTTAAATGGTTAAAGGGAAAGTAAAGATAGTATAATGATATACGGAGCTTTCCAAGCTAGAACATTCCTAGAAATTTACAACAAAAACTTTTAGGCACAGCCTCTGAGAGTTTAGATATAGCTGTTTTCAATAGAAAGGAAATATTACTCTCTTCTCAAATAATGTAAAGAACTAAGTTGACCCTAGTCTCAAGTCATCCCCTAGAACAGCTGCTGGTCCCTCAAATGTCTATTTTTTAAAAAGTCTAAATATTGGGACCAGCAGTGAGCATAATGACTATGTCACTGAACTCCCACGTAGACGACCACAGTTCAAGTCCCGGACGCGGTGGCTTAAACTCACACCAAGCGTATGTGTGTGTGTACCCAAGATCCCGAGAGGAGAATGGAGAAGGGATTGCAGTGTGGCCATCCCCCCTGGGGGGTGATTTCTCGCTTTCTATCTCTCTGTCTCTCTCTTTCTGGTGAGTGCATGCACCCTATAGCAAAAACCTCTCAAAAAAAAAAAAAAAGTCTAAATATTGAGAAATATTTCTTAATTCTTCTATACTGTTTAAATAATTTTAACATTTATTGAATGCTTACTATATGGATCAGGTACCAAGCTAAAGCTTTTACAGGATATTTCATTTAGTTCTCACAATAATGCTATAAGAGATACTATCTTCATTTGCGTTTTACAGATGAAGAATCATAAACAGCAGTTTAATATATTATTTAAGTCCTGGCTCTATTGCCAGGTGATTACAGCAGCCAGATCTCACACAGTGGACTGCATGGTTAGAGTCCCAGACCTAATAGCTTAAAAAATACATCGGGTTGAGACCAGCAGTTGGCGTAATGGCTATGTCGCCGGACTCCATGCAGGCAACCGCAGTTCAAGTCTTGGACTCGGTGGCTTAAACTCACGCTGGGCATGTATGCATGTGTGCCCAAGATCCTGAGAGGAGAATGGAGGAGAAGGGATTACAGCATGGCCGTCCCCCATGAGGGGTGATTTCTTGCTTTCTGTCTCTCTGTCTCTGTCTTTCTGGTGAGAGCATGCACCCTATAGCAAAAACCAATCCAAAAAAAAATTAATTAAAAAAAAAAACATCAGGTGCATGTGTGTGTGTGCCCCAAATCCTGACAGGGTAAAGAAATGGAGGAAATGGGATTGTGGCATGACTATGCTTCTTCCTTTCTCTCTATCTCTCTGGTAAGCACATGGGCCTTCTGGCAAATTTTAAAAACAGAAAAGGAATATATTATATAAAAATATACAATTAGTAAACAGACAAACAGGGATCTGAAAGTTTGTCTTCGGAGCTTGCATTTTTGATGTACTAATTCTTATCAAATTAATGATTGCTCAAAGTAGACAAAAATCAAATTAATTTAAAAGACTAATTTAAATTAATTAAAAAGATAATGTAGGAAGCTTACTTCACTAAGAATAGCTGGCTGGGGACAATATAATGGAGGAGCTGGAAGATACAAGCCGACTGGAACTAAGCCCCACAGTCTCTTACTGAAGTCCTTTGCAGAGTTTATCAGAAGCTGAAATGTCTCTGAAAGAATATCTGCATCAGCCATAACTGCTGCTTTCAGGACTTCTTGCACTGAACAAAACAGCATGTTTGTATCTTCTTCTTCAATGGGATCTACCAAATACAAAATTTGGTAAAAAGAGTTAAAATTTATATTGAACTATTCATTCTATTTTTACAATATAAAATATCAATCTGAAAAAGTTAACTGTCACAAATGAACATATCAGTTGATATATAAAACATTCACATTTATAGACAGAAACATAAGGCATTCTGTTACATTAAGATTATAAGCAACCATCAGGAACCAGCAGTTAGCGTAATGGCTATGTCGCTGGACTCCCACATAGTCGACCGCAGTTCGCGTCTCGGACCCGGTGGCTTAAGTCTCACGCCGGGTGCGTGTGCGTGCCCAAGATCCCGAGAGGAGAATGGAGGAGAAGGGATTGCGGCGTGACCATCCCCCCTGGGGGGTGATTTCTCGCTTTCTGTCTCTGTGTCTCTCTCTGTCTGTCTGGCAAGCACACGCGCCCTATAGCGAAAACCTCTCAAAAAAAAAAAAAAAAAAAAAGAGATTATAAGCAACCAGAGCATGGGATTTTTTTTCCTCTAAGAATTATATGACATAGGTAGTAACAATGACACAGTAAAAATATTCTTGCTGGGCCAGCAAGTGGCATGGAAGTTAAGGTGCTGATCCCACACAGCCAGTTCTGTGGTTTGAAGGTTGGATCTAGCAGCTTGAAAATCACACTGGGCACATGTGTGTACATGGCCAAAACCCTGATAGGAGACTAGAGGAGAAGGGAATGCAAAGTGGCCACCCCTAACCCCCAGGAGGGGGTGATTTCTCACCCTCCCTCTCCTCTCCTGTCTCTCTCTAGCAAGTACACATGTCTTACAACAAAAACTAAGAAAAAATAAACAAACTCCTGTTTGCTACTGCCACTATCTCCAAGGCTGGGACTCACAGGCTCTCCAGACTTTGTGGGCCAGGCTTCTAGCTCTTTTCACTGCCGGTGGCCAACTAGGTGTAGGCAACCCCTACCTCCAGCAAAGTTGTACTGCATCATGAAAAACACTCACAGTCTATAACCCGGAGGCACATGGAGACACTGCTGATGATTACAGCCAAATAAATAAATAAATAAATAAATAAATAACATGGAGACTACTGTTATGCTCACCAAACCCTAAACAACATACCCAACCAATACTATAAGATACATTCTTCAGGAAAAAGTCTTTTTTTCAATAAAGACAAGCAAAAATTAAAAACAGCAGAAGAGACTGCCCTACCAGATGCACCAATATTAAAGCTGGGACACAAGAAACATGAAAAAGCAAGGAAGCATGACGCTTCCAAAATAACACAATACTCTTGTAGTAACAGATGCCAATAAAAAGGAAATCTTTGAAATGCCTGAAAAGGAATTTAAAAAAAAAAAAGGTCCTGAGTAAACTCAGTCAAGATGCGAAATAATATATGTGTACAGATAGACAATTTAAAGAAATAATGAAAAACTGCTATGATAAGAAAAAAAATTGTCAACATCAATAATCATCAGGGAAATGTAAAACACTATTTAGAGTGGTTATAATAAAAGGACAAAGAACAAAAGCTTCCAAGGACGCAGAAAAAAGGGAACCTGTATACACTGTTGGCAAGAGCATAATTAGTAAAATTACTATGGAAAACAGCATGGAGATTCCTCAAAAAACTAAGAATAGAACACTATATGACCCAGCAATCCCTACTACTGGGTATATACCCAGGAAAAGAAAATCAATATGTTGAAAATGTATCTGTGCTCCCATGTTTACCATAGTACTATTCACAATAACCAAGAAATGGAATCAAGCTAAACATTCATCAATAGATGAGTGGATTAAAAAATGTGGCAGATATACACAATGGACTGCTACTCTGCAGCAACATGGATGAGCCTGGAGAACATTATGTTATGTGAAACAGGTCAGGCACAGAAAGCAAATGACTGAATGGTCTGTCTCATATGTGGAAGCTAAAAAAACGGATCTCAAAGTAGAGAGCAGAGCAGTAGTTACTAGAAGCTGGCAAGGCAGATGGAGGGAGGAAATTGAGAGAGCCTGGTTAATGGATACACAATTACAGCAAGAAAAGAGGAATAAATTCTAGTGCAATAACACTGTAGAGTGTAGTGCATGGAACAACACTTGATATTGATTAACAGCTAAAAGAGAAAATTTTGAATATTCCCAACACAAAAAAATGATAAATGTTTAAGGTAATACATAATTATCCTGATTTAATCATTATACCTTGTATATAGTATGTCACACTATATCCCATAAATATGCACAGCTATTACTTATAAACAATAATAAAATATTCTTAGAATTTAGTCCTGAGTCAAAAAAAAAAGGTAACTGAAAAAATATTAATAGGAAAAAAAATGTAAAAAAAGACACCAAAATAATGTACATTATATGAAGGCAATGAGAGAGCAATTTCCCTTTTTTCCTTTTCTTATTAGATTTTAGCCATAGAGTACATGTACTCGCTGGAGAGAGACAGAGAGGGAAAATGAGAAATCACCCTCCCGAGGGGGATGACCACAACACAATCCTTTTTTTCCATTCTCTTCTCAGAATTTTGAGCACACACACACACACACACACACACACACACACACACACACCCTTAGTAGAATTTTCCAACAACCAGTTCCAGGACTCAAACTGCTGTTGGCTATGTGTGAGTCCAGTGCCTTAACCGTGCCACCTGCTGGCCCCAATTTTCTTAATAGTCCACGATACACTTTTATAATAAAAATGTTTAAAATGGTTTATGAAGTTAAGGAAGCAGAAAAATACAAAATAGTGGGACATACAGCATGGCTTCAACTTTGTAAATATCTGATAAATGTGGATGTGTTCCACAAGTTAAGATGTGAGGAGATACAGGTGGTAGAATTAGACTTAGGGTTTTTTCCTACTAGATATTTTAAGGATACTGTAAAGTACAGAATATAATATGACCAACACTCATGTATTGAATATTAGACACTCGACCTTGTCTAATATTAAGATTTTTGCCATATTCAATTTAATTTTTTAAAAATAAAAATAATACAGATACAGCTGAAATTCTTTGATTACCAACCATATCTCACTCCCTCAATCTCCAAAGTACCTGCTATTCACAATTTGGTATATAGTTGAATTTCTATTAGATATATATTCTGTCTTCCCATTCTGCATGCCACAAAGCTTAACTTTTCTTTCATATTTTGCAACTCTGTATCCCTCAATATAAAATCAAGCATCACAGAATGATGGGGATACGTTCTGAGAAATGCATCATTAGATAATTTCGTCACTGTGAGAACATCATAAAGTATACTTACACGAACATACATGGTACAGCCGACTACTCATCTAGGTTACAGGGCATGATCTTATCAGATCATCGTTGTATATGCCACCTGTTTTTGACTAAAAGCGATTATGTGGCACATGGCTGTATTTAATATGTTTATCTTTATCTCTCTATATGTGTATGTATCTATGTTTATCTTCTCTCTCTACATATTATATATATATATTATATATATGTGTGTGTACGTATATATGTTTATCTTTATCTCTCTACATATTATATATGTGTATGTATATGTGTCTGTGTATATATATGTATATAACATACCTTATGTATAAATTACTTAGATTGATTCAGTTTAACTACTAATTTGCTCTTAAACTGGTTTTATCATTTTATCTACTGAGTTTTGTTTTTAAATCGGGTTTGTGAGGTACAATTTCATACAATAAAATTCACCCTTTTTCAAGTATAGAGCTTAATGATTTTAACAAATCCATATAGGCCTACGAGAACATTTCTATCACTCCAAAAAGTTCCCTTACACTCCTCTGTAGTCAAATGGCCCCTTACTCCCGGGCAGCCAGTGATTCTGTTTCCTGTTCCTATGTTTTATTTCCTATAGAATCCCACCTGAATGGAGTCATCCAATGTGCAGTCTGTTTTTGACTTCTCTTCGAGTAATAGTTCTGTGAATCATCCATGTTGTCACATGTTATCAGGAGTCTGCTCCTCTTTATGAATTATTCATTACCACTATAGTACTACTTTTAAAAATATATTTACCAGCTGATAAATATCTGGATTATTTCATATTTCTAACTATTATGAAAAAGCTGCTGAAAACATTCATGTACGAAACTTATGTTTTTAATTCTCTTAGGTAATACCTAGGGGGATGGAATCATTTGAATTTTTATTAGCTCTTTGTTTCTGATTTCTGGCAATTTCCCTTGCTTTCTTTAACGTTTGCCCTGTAAATTGCTATTTTTGACATTTTAGCTAGGAATACATTTTTCTACGTATTTATTATGAAAGAGTTTTCAAATAATCTAAAGAAACATATTGTCAGAACTGGAAGTTCAGATTAGGGATTTTTCAGTCTCTTTTTTTTTTTTTTTTACAAATCTTTTCATGTAGTAACATTATCTTTCCATTAATTGATTTTAAAAAAAATGGACACAAAATTCTCAAAGAAGAGTTTATAGTAAGTTTTCCAAGTATCATGGATTCTTTCAGGAAAGAAAAGTTATGTTTTAGAAATCTAGAGTTATTCTCACTTATTTATGAAGTAAAGCGCTAATAAAAGCATAAGAGACCTGAGAGTAGCAGGTCATGTAGTGGTTAAGGCGCTGGACTCCCACATGGTTGACCACGGTTAAAGTCTTGGAGCCTGTGGCTTAAAACTCATGCTGGGTGCATGTGCGTTCATGCCCAAAATCCTGAGAGGAGAATGGAAGAGAAGGGACTGTGGCATGGCCATCACTGGGAATGATTTCTCTTTCATGACTTTGAAAGTTTTTTTTTTTTTTCCTTTTTTTGGAGAGGTTTTAGCTATAGGGAGTGTACTCACCAGAAAGACAGAGAGCCAGAAAGCAAGAAATCACCCCCCCAAGGGGGGATGGCCACGCTGCAATCCCTTCTCCTCCATTCTCCTCTTGGGATATTGGGCATGCACACACATGCGCCCAGCTGAATTTTAAGCCACCGGGTCTAAGACTCGAACTGTGGTCGACTATATGGAAGTCCAGCGACATAGCCATTATGCTAAATGCTGGTCCCCCCAAAATTTTGTTTTTAAAGAATTATTTAACTTTAAGGTTTATATTAACCTGATACACGTGCCAGACCTTATATAGTTAACTTACCTGTGAACTGTTTAAATTTTGAACCCATTTCATTTTTTGCCTGCAAAGAGGCTGGCTGACCTAAAAAGTACTGTAGTTTTTCCTGGAAAATCTTAGCTGGTACCATATTAAATGGTAGATTCAGAATTTTCTTCTTGTACCTAGAATGATATCAAGTGAAGGAAAATGAATCCACATTTTGAGAAAAAGAAGTTATTTCACACATCAAGAACTAAACATGAAATTTTTTTTCCATTACAACTTGTTTTTATTTTACATTTTTCCATAAACATTTACTTTACATAGCAAAGAATTTTAAACATGAAATTTTAAGTAGCAGTGAAATTCACCTTCTTTATTCATTCTATATTTAAAATTTTTTAAAAATCAAGGAAATATATTAAGGCCTTTCATGATTATGATCCTAATACGTTTACCCACTCTTTTGGTTAAAGAGTTTTTTAAATGATATATTTATTTCATTTTACTTATTGTTGTTATTATTGTTTTTTTAATTTTCTATAGTGTATATGGCCTCACCAAAGAGAGACAGAGAGAAAAACAAAGTTCTAAGAAAGCAGGCCACCAGGTCAAGGACTCGAAGCACAGTCAGCCATGTTGAAGTCCAGAGCCTTAGCCACCATGCCACCGACTGGCCCCTTTTTAAAGACTTTTTTGCCATAGGGCAAAACAAGTGTACTTGCCAGAGACAGAGAGAGGGAAACTGAGAAATCACACTTAGGTGGGATGGCCACGCCGCAATCTCTTTTCCATTTCTCCCTTCTTTTAGGATTTTGGACATGCACATACACATGCCCGGCATGTTTTTTAAGCTGCTAGGTCCAGGACTCTAACCATGCAGTCAGCCATGTGGGCTGCCTTAACCACTAAGCCTCTGGCTGACCCCAATTTTATCCCATTAGAAACTACTCAATTTGTCAAGATCCCAACTGTCTTTCAATGCCCATCTCAAGTGACAACTTCTATATAGAGTATTTCCTATCTTTTCCTCACTTACCGTCACTTTCCCCACCCTACTGGGGATTTTCTGGCAATTCTGGCAATTTTCTTATTGTGCTATGTAAATAATAACATTTTATCTTACTTTCTCTATTAAAGTATAAATGCCTTAAGCATAGAGAGCATATACCACTTAAGTTTATAACCACTAGAATACCTAGTATAGAGCTTAGTATATAGCAGTTACTAAATAAGTAAATACATGATGAATTATTATTTTTTTATTTTTGGAGAGGCTTTTGCTATAGGGCACATGCACTTGCCAGAAAGACAGACAGAGACAGAGAGATAGAAAGCAAGAAATCACTCCCCAGGGGGGATGGCCATGCCATAATCCCTTCTCCTCCATTCTCCTCTAAGAATTATGGGTACACACACACAAGCACCTAGCCTGAGTTAAGCCACCAGATCCGGGACTCGAACTGTGGTCAAATACATGGGAGTCCAGCGACATAGCCATTACACCAACTGCTGGTACCACATGATCAATTACTGTCTTGAAAAATATATAGAAAACCAAAGCAATGTCATAATATTCAGAAAAGTGATCAGAAATTAAACATCTTAAAAACTCAAATCCTATTTCAGCTAGATACTCTCTCATGCACAAGTGTGAGAGAATGCCATTGAACCTCTCTATACATTAACCACTAACTGGCTATTTAAATTAACATTAAATTGGGGTCAGCAGGTGGAGTGGTGATTGGGTGCTGGACTCCCATATGGCTGACCGCACACAGTTCAAGTCCTGGACCTGGTGGATTGCTTTTTCACTTTCCCTCGCTCTTTGTCTCTCTCTGATCAAATTTTAAAATATTAATAATAATAATGATAATAATAATGAATAAAACAATTATTTTTAAAAATTAAAAAAATAAAATTAATTAATTCATTGGCATTAATCTGAAAATTCAATTCCTTGGTCTCATAAGCCACACTGCAAGGGCTCAATATTTACTTAGGGCTAGTGGCTATCATATTCAACAGCATATACAGAACATTTCTACCACTGAAAAAAGTTCTTGGGCCCAACAAGTGGCATGGTGGTTAAGGGCACTGGGCTTCCACATAGCCGACCACAGTTTGAGTCCTGGACCCGGCAGCTTGCTTTCTCACTTTTTGCCTCTCTCTCACTCTGTCCCTCAAATTAAAATAAATAAATAAGCAAAGTTACATAAAATAATTCTTTAAAAGAAAAAAAAAGTTCTATTGGCCACTGCTGCACTAAGGACTTCACATAATATGTAAATACCAGCATTGAGGAAATATAAAATATTTTATATGACACTATTACATAAGTATCTTAAGTTTGCCTCAGTACATACCTCATGAAACTGCTATCATGTTTACAGAATAGCTGGAAGGCCACACCAATTGAAACACATGTCTTCCAGTCTCCAAGTTTATGTGCCAGCCATATAGCTTCTGGAACCAGGCCACCGATGAATAACAACTCAAGGGCATATTCAACTACCCACACGTTAGAGAGGTTCTGATCTCGCACAGCACTGGCCACCTTACAGTGCTGCAGAGGAATAAGTCGAAGGGACTGCTCTGTGGGTAAATTAAAGAAAAGTGAAGTGACAGGCACATCTGTCCAAACTCGAGCCTCTTTACATGGGTCTATTTCTCTCTTCATTTAGTATTCTCTACACAAAACCATAAAAGTCCTAAAAATAGTGCAAGATAAGAAACTGAGACAAATTTTCTAAGTGTCAGAATTTTACTTTTTTTTAGATTATTCAGGAAGACCACGTCGAGTACTGTCTATCTTCATCAGTAAAATAATAGGAATTTATGGACACAATTTGTTGTCAGGAACATTATTACCAAAAATAGGGAACACAAGCAATATAGGTTATGACAAAAAAAACAAGGGTTTGAGGACTAGCAGGTAGTGTGGTGGTTGAGATGCTGAATCTCACACGGCTGACTCCACAGTTCAAGTCCTGGACCCAGTGGATTGAAAATCACATTGGGTGTGTGTGCATGCATGCCCAAAGTCAAGAGGAGAGAAAATTGCTATATGGCTATCCCCCTGGGGGGTGTGATTTCTCACTTTTTCTCTCTCTCTGGCAAGAGCACATACTCTATGACAAAAATCTAAAATAAATAAATTAAAAAAAAGAAAGAGAGGACTTGAGGACCAGCAAAATTGCAGCAGTAGTTAAAGCAGTTGGATCCCAAATAGCCAACTAGGTGGTTCCAGTCCCTTCTTCTCCATTCCTGGGATCTTGGGCACACATACAAACACACCTGGCATGTATTTTAAGACACCAGGTCCAGGACTCGAACCACAGATGACTACGTGGGAGTCCAGTGACACAACCATTACGTCATTTGCTAGTCCCTCTTTCTGTCTTTCTCTGGCACATGCCCTCTGGTAAAATAAAATTTGTGTGTATATGTGTATATGTATATATACATAAAATAAATACATACATAAAATTATAAAATTTTTTTTAAATAAAAGGAACCACTAGAGAATTTTCCTTCTGATTCTGATCCTGCCCCCTGCATGTGGCTTTCCAGGGACTCAAAGTTCTTAACACCAGGTGAGACTAGAGAACATGGCAGCTGAAGCAGTCCAAGTGGACGAGGACAGTCCTTCTCTCCTACCCACATCCTGAGACAATCACAGAACATAAGAGCTGAACACAGAGTTCAAAATCCACGGTTCTGTGATTGATTACACTTGCTGACCACTTGTTGCTACCTCTACTGAACTCTCAATTACATTACAGCTTCTACTACTCTAACCTATGTGTGCTCTATAAATATATACCAGTTCATGTCATCTCTTGCTTAAAGTCCTCCAGTGGTTTCTCATTATACCTAAAATAAGATTCAGATTTCTTACTGTGACTTACAACTGGCTCCTTTTCTGACTGCATCTCAAACCATTTTCTACCTCATCCTCCAGTCTATAGTCACAATAGATTTTCAGTTTCTCAAAATACACCAAGCTTGTGTTGGGGCTCATACATAAATTCACATTCTATGTCCTCATGTGTCCAAGGTTGGCTCTTGTTATTAAAGTTCAGCTTTAATTTCACTTTGTCAGAGAGCCCCTCCCTGAATTCCCAATCTGAAATAGCCACACAGTCACACTGCAATACTTCAGCTCTCTCCAGAACATTATCACCACTTGATATATCTTGTTTATGTGTTCATTTGTTTAATTTTGTTTCAACCTATTAGATATAAACTTAATAAAACAACAGGTACTTTGTTTTGTTTATGACAGAATAAAACTCTTTTAAGTTTTAAAAAACAAATGCCTACAAGTGTTTTCATGCTATCAATTTTGTGTAGTACAAGCTAAGATATATATCACACCACTAACACTGCCTCGCACATCACAAGTGCTTAATAAAACTGGTACAGTAAATGGACAGTATAGAAAAGTATGCAGTACACGTGTATTTCCATGAGGGCAGGGCAGTTATTTAGCACAGGATTAGATGCATTTTGACCATGTTAATGATATTATTAAATAGACAAAGGTAATTGACCCACATACAATTATAACAGTAAATCCCCAAATAAAATTAAATTCGAAATTAGCAGACTCAAAATTTCTTACACTGCATTTTTTAGAAGTAAAGGTGACAGTTCTTTTACTTTAAAAATTAGAAGTTTATAAATACCACTTTGCCTACACTTTATGATTTTAAAAAAATCTATATTTGATAAAAGACAAATCCAAATTTGTTTTTCAGAGTCTTTCTCAGATTCTACTTGGTTCACAAATGATCCCTAAGAATCTCCTATGTGTTAGCATTTCGTTAGACTAGTACTGGTTCCATAAAAAAAATGCTCTAAATAATATGATTTTAAGTTATCACATTGTGTGCAAAAAGAAAGGTTAGAAAATAATTTGTTTACCATGTTACCTGTTGGAATATGGAGTGGAGGAAGAATATTCACATTGTGAGGTGGCAAAATGCAAAGTGGCTGATTGGTGAAGTAGGCGGCCATGAAACGAGCCATGGACTGGATAACCCTCACTGCTGCCTCAGGATGGACATTTCCAGTTATTCTAAAGTCACAATGAGACTTCTCGGGAACTACGGAACACAACAAATAAACAGAAAGGAGATTCCAGTCAAACTATCAAAAATAGTAATATTTAAATTCCCAACATTATACAAACAAATTATTTTTTTTATTTTGTCAAGAGTTTGTTTATTTATATAGCATAAAGATATTTTTGAGCTGGAAGCCAACTGATTTCAGACTATGAAAAGAATTTTCAGAAAACAAATATGCAAAGTCACATTTCCAGTTTCACAGAGGGGTTATTTAGGCAAACTTCGCCAACCACAATAGAAGATGGTGTATTAAATTACTGCTCTGGAGAAGGAATTTGCATTTACAGATCTCAGGCAGCCCTGGAACCTTGAATGCAGTGTGAGCTGAGGGCTTTCCCTGAGTAGCCTGCATCTTCATAACCCTCTCTGCTGACCCACTTAAAGTGTTTTTTCTCCAAACTGTAGAGAAAAGCAACAGGGTAGTGCATAGGAGACTTTCACCAGCTATATTTATATGTCCACTGGTATGTACGGCATCCCGAGCCTAGGGCCATGGCTGATTTTGTTCTCAACCATGCAGTGTTATCTACTGTAGAACAATGGATGAAAATCCCAAAGAGTCACAACTGAATTCCTAGTCCTTTAAGTACCATTTCAGAAGCTCAGAAGGGTTTTCATTTAGAGTCAGATACACGAACTCTCCTTGACCAACAGGATACTCTTTGTAGTACCCTCACATTGGTAAAGGGAGACCTGGTGTACACCAGAAAAAAATCAAAGAAGGGGACCAGCAATTGGCATAATGGCTATGTTGCTGGACTCCCATGGAGTTGACTGCGATTCAAGTCCCGGACCCAGTAGCTTAAACTCAGGTCAGGCGCGTGTGCATGCGTGCCCAAGATCCTGAGAGGAGAATGGAGGAGAAGTGATTGCAGCGTGGCCATCACCCCTGGGGGGTGATTTCTTGCCTTCTATCTCTCTCTCTCTCTCTCTATCTGTCTTTCTGGTGAACGCACATGCCCTATAGCAAAAACCTCTCCAAAAAAAAAAAGAAAATCAAAGAGGAAAGCCATGTCTCCTTAGATTGATTTGTTTCCTGTGCAGCCCTGTCATTCATTCATTCATTCATTCATTCATTGGAAACATACCATGTGCTGCCCCTAGGTGGAAACTATATACAGAGTAAATAGAAAATATATAACCCCTGCCCCAAGGCATAGCCTGTCTCTTCAAACATTCAAGTCTAGTGGAAATAACATATATTCAGATGTTTGGAAGGCTTTCTAAAAATGTAGCTCCTCAGATGAGAAGCGTTAGATGTTCTGGAGGAGCTAGGTCAATGACTCGGGTAGTTAGACCTGAGAGTTTATGCAAAAGGTACAAAAGCTTTTAAGGTATTATTTTTTTGTTTGTTTTTAAATTTCTTATATTATTATTTTTTAAAGAATTATTTATTTATTTTTAATTTAAAAAATTTTTAAATGAATTAATTTACATTCATTCAATGAGCATCATCCAAACATTATGTGATTTCCCATCCAGAATATACTGCATAGTGGCTTAATCATGTATGTTATCATTGTTAACATGTGTGTGTGTATACATATATATTTATATGTATGCATGTATATATATTTTCCCCCTATTTCTCACCCTCTGGCATTTCTCATCCTCCTCCCACACTAACTCTGGTGTCTACGGTTATTTTCCATTCCTTTTTTCCCCCCACATTTAATTGATTCACAAAATTTCTTAAATAATTAACTATTTTCAATAGCAAGTTCGGCTGATATATACAAATACAAATTATAATTTTAAAAATTTATTTTCTAAATGAACACTCAAGCCAAGTTATAATAGGTATCCATAGTTCTTGAAGACAATATTTTGTAATGAACATACTTAGGAACTGTCATGACTCTGAATTTAAAAACTGAGGAATCTAGGAATCTCTACAAAATAATTTAACTCTGATGAACCTACAAGCTTGGGATTTCATTATTTATTTTCCCTTTCTTTCCTTTCTTTCTCTTTTTCTTTTTTTTTTTTTTTTTTTTTTTATGAAAGAGAGAAAAGAAAAGGTAGACAGTCAGAGATGGGTATTTTTGACAGGGTATTGCCATGCCACAATCCTGCTGCAGCTTCCCAATCAGTGACTATAACAGGAGTGTACAATTGCATGTGGCATGTTCAGGTTAGCCCAGGAACTAAACCTAGACCTTCCAAGAAGCTTCCAGACTCCCAAGTGGTGGTGCTATCTGATATCTGTAGTTAGGCATTATTTTTTTGGGAGGGGATGAATAAGGCAGGGCTCACTACAAAGTCAAACTAAAAAAAAACAAAACAGGGTGGGACCAACAGGTGGAATGGTAGTTTAGTCACTGGACTCCCACATGATGGACCACAGTTTAAGTCCTGGACACAGTTGCTTGAAATTCACACTGGGCATGCCCAAAATTCAGGAGGAGAAGAGACTGCAGCAAGCCATCCCTCCTGGGGAGTGATTTCTCGCTTTCCGCATGATGAACGATCACGCCACAATCTGTTCTTCTCCATCTCTTCCTCCTTTCAGGACTATGGTCAAAAACACACATACTTACCCACTGTGTTTCTCAAGCCACCAGGTCCTGGACTTGAACATAGTAGATTATGTGAGATCCAGTTGCCTTAATCGTCAAGCCGTGGAGCTGGCCCAGTAGATTTTTAGAAAACATTTATTCATGGGCCAGCCAGCTCACATCGTGATTAAGGTGACTAAATCCCACATGACTGACTGCACAGTTCAGGTTCCTGATTCAAGGGCTTGAAAAACGTGCTGGGCATGTGTATATGCTGGGCACATGTGTGTACATACCTGAAATCCTGAGAGGAAAATATAGAAGGGAATACTGTGTGGCTATCTCCCTAGGAGGTGCTTTCTCACTTTCTCTCTCCAGCAAGTACATGAATCCCATAGCAAATTTTTTAAAAAGAATTTACTCACATTGGAAAACTTTTATCATAATATTAAATATTTTTTAATTGCAAAATAGAGGGACAACAGGTGGCATAATAGTTACATCGTTGAACTCCCACACAGTTGACCACAGTTCAAGTCCCAGACCCAGCAGCTTAAAACTCATACCAGGGGACCAGCAGATAGTGTAATGGCTACGTCACTGGACTCCCACGTTATCAACCACGGTTCAAGTCCCAGACCCAGTGGTTTAAACTCACGCCAAGCACGTGTGCGTGCATGTTCAAGATCCCAAGAGGAGAATGGAGGAGAAGGGACTGCGGTGTGGCCATCCCCCCTAGGGGGGGTGATTTCTCACTTTCTGTCTCTCTGTCTTTCTGGCGAGCGCACACGCCCTATAGCAAAAACCTCTCAAAAGAAAA